TCCAGAAGGTTCTATCGCTGAGGCTTACATTGTCAAAGAGTGTCTTACTTTTTGTTCAATGTACTTAAAAGGGATTGATAAACCTGAACGAAATGATGATGGTGGTGAACGTGGTCCCGGGATGGAGGTCTTTACCCAAAATGCTCGTCTATTCTCACCTATCACAAGGGCTCTTGACCCTTCGCAAAATGAACGAGAAATGGCTCACTGGTTTGTGTTGTACAATAGCTCTGAGGTGGAGCCATTTATTGAGTATGTATTTAAGTTTAATTACGTTTATGCATAATCGTTCCATTTTGTTTCGAACTCTCAAAGTTAATTACGTATATCACATTTCCTTGGGTAGGGAGCAGAAGAATATTTTACATAATGTACAAGGACGTGACATAAGTCGGGTACAACGGGAAGAATTTCCAAAATGGTTCAAAAATCGTGTAAGATATACTAAAGAAAATAACTGAATACAATTGTTGAAACTTTCAATTCACATTAACTTAGTACACTTCTTATATGGTGTTTTATGTAGATTAATGATTTGCGAACGAAAGGGTCACCTGAAGCAACTGACGAATTGTGGTCATTAGCAAATGGTCCTAGATCGGTAATTGACTTTTATTCTGGGTGCATCTATAATGGAATTCGATTCCATACTAGAAACCATGAAAATCGTTGTACTTGCCAAAATAGTAGGTTGGTCGTAGAAGGGGACCATAATGGGAACCAAGTTAATTTTTATGGCTACTTGTGCAAAATATGGGAATTGAAATACTTGCATGGGGGTACAGTGGTTTTGTTCCAATGTGAATGGTATGACACCGGTCACAAGAATAGAATATACTCCGATGAACATGTCACAAGTATTGATGTTACAAGACTTTGGTATGAAGATGACCAATTTGTTCTACCTAGTCAAGTAAGACAAGTATTCTACGTCAATGATACCAACAAAGGAAAAAATTGGAGAGTCGTTGAACATGTTAAGCATCGGGGAGTATAGGATATACCAGAGCAGGATGATGTCTCTAATGATGCTTTTCAACAGGATGAAACCACTGATGGTGTTGGGGTAGTGATCCAAGATAATGATGTTCAATACAGCAGGGATGATATGGATCCTGAGATCATGTTCAATGATCAACTAATGGCAGAGAATTTAGTTCACAATGATGACGAGGATGACACAATCATAGAGTATAATGATGATGAAGATAATGAACTGCATAGACAACCTGATGTTGATGCAGATCCTGATATAGATCTTGATATAGATTATGATATGTAGTGTTTGATATAGATCTTGATATAGATTATGATATGTAGTGTTTGGTTTTTAATTATGTGGACAAGTGCTATAATTTAATAATAAATTGCTTGGTTTACATTGCATGGCATTGTTTTTCAAATTTCCTAGCATTGTTTCTTATTTCATTTCATTTAATTATATACCATATGTACAGTTACAAAGATGTCCAAAAACGGTAAATCATTTCTGAAGCCCAACGGCTTAGTCCAGAAGATGACGAAATATGAGAATGATAGGAAAAAAACAATCCAGAAAAATAAAATCAGATTTGATGCTCTAGGGATAAAGTCCCTCAAGAATTCAATGTTTGGTTCTATTGAAATGGACAATACTGAAAGTTGTAGGGTGGGAAAGAGAAAGGTAGGTGAAACTGATAATGACGAGGACTATCAACCACTTGATGATGATGAAGGACTGAGTTTTTCAAGTGATAATGGCGAGCCTTTTGATTCTCAAGTGATTGAGGTAATAAATGTGTGTTTAAAAAGTAATTTCTCTATTTTTTTCACTTGTTATATTACTTGTGGTATGTTTAGTTATTTCAAATTTATTTTTTATTAAGCAACCTTAAATTATTGAAAATGTACTAACAATTCTTTTTTATATTATGTCAGGATATTCATATGGGTCCCAGTAAAAAAACAAATAGGTGTGCAGCTCGCCTAATAGCTTCACAAACACCTAGGGAAAAGAGAAGTATTGTTGATGAAGATACACCTACTCTTCCGAGACGACCTGTAGCTGCACAAGTTAATCATTCAGAGAGCACACCTGAGGTCTCAACCCAACCTATCCATCTTCCCACCTTACATACTAGGCCCGATCAGCTCCCTACCTCCGCCACTCAACCTGACCACCTTTCAAGTCCATGTACTGTGACTAACAGTGGAGGTGAAAAATAAATGACCACTTAAATGAAATGCTAATTTCTTATCTCAATATTTATTTAGTGCATTCATGTTTTATATCGACTAAATTGAATAAAATTTTGGTCATAATAGCATCAATTCCAGTTTTGGGCAAGAAACGTGTACGAGGACTGACCCGAAGAAAAAATGTGGAGAAGATTAGAAAGGAACGTGGTGATCGAATACCCGTTACACTTAACCGTTTGACCAAAGCAATAGAAGGGGATTATGCCACACCGCTAGCAGCTGCTCTTGGTCAACAAATTCGAGTTCATGCCCCAATCCAAAATGATGGATGGCTAGAAATTGCCTTTGGGTTAAGAGAGTCCATTGTTACAAGAGTTGGGGTAATTTGAAATATATGTGTTATATATTTAACATGTTATTTATGTTAATCGCAATGATATATAAAATATATTGATTTTTATTATTTCCAATTGCAGCAAACTTTTGACTTTAGGGACTACAATAATGATGTGGATGTGAGATGTATTATTGATCATAAGTGCCAAACTTTGTACAGTGAATGGAAAACTAGATTACACACGCACTACAAATCCCTTAAAGAAGACAATGTATCTGACCTCAAAAGTCAGATACTATATCCTTGTACAAAGGATGATTGGGAATGGATGATTGACAATCTGTGGGAAACTGATGATTGGAAGGTATTTATAAAAATATTTACTAAAGTAACATCCTCCTTTATATCAATACCTAATTTTTTTTTTATTTGTAGGTAAAGTCAGAGAATGCGATGAAAGGGAGAGGTTGTGTGAAGTATAATCATACGAGCGGCTCAAGATCATTTGCATCGCGAGCATCTATCATTATAAGTGTAGATTTACAAATTTGAACATACTAAATTATAAATACAAAATTCTTGATCGACTAGAAAATCTAATGAAATGAAAGGTACAAGGAAGCAAACCGACTATTACGAAACTATTCGAGGACACCCACAAACATCACCGACATGGGGGAGTGTGGATAAATAACACAGCTGAGGAACATCATGTAACCATAACTATTTCAATTTCAATAATAAATGTTTGCATTTTGATATTATGTTTTAAGCTTATTTATGTTTCATTCATAGGCCACTATGGTTTCAAAGATCGCTAAGCAATCTCAACGTAGTGTCACACACCCATTGTTTGAGGAGCAGATTTCCAAGGAAGTACTTGGGAAGAGGTCGGTCTACTTGAAGGGATACGGGGTCCGCAAGGACAGTACTTCATCTTCTACACATTTTGAGGCCCCTAACTCCGAGGTGATTGTTCTTCAACAGCAGTTAGTTTACCAGCGACAACAATTAGCTGACCAAGGAAAGCAGTTAGTTGACCAGGCTCAAAGCATGAGTACAATGCAAACTATCATTCAAATGTTGGCAGCAAAAAATGGGATAGATCTAGCAAACATTCCGGGGTTAGTTCCAAGCAACAATGTCGGGGAGGATGCATCGGGTGTAAGGGAGGATGAAACTTCTCTTGGTTGAAATAGAGGTAAATTTGACACCTCATTAAATTGATTTACTTTATTTAACCAATCCTAACATGTGTCAACAATATAAAATTATATAAACTTTGTATTACAATCCTAGCATTACAACCTTTGTATATAATAGCTTGATAAAACAATAGCTTCACAACAATTTTTTGATTAATTTTAACTATATTTGTATATTATTGTTGAAGTTAATGCATTAATAAAATACTCATGTTTTTATCCTTTTGTTCACAGGTTGGAGCTGGATGTTCGTGGTTCAATAGTGATATATATCGTTTTGTACGTTGGCATTCCTTTAATTTTTCTTTGTTTCGTTTTATAGGTTTTTCTATTGAATGTTTATATACTTTTTGGAATTATTATATTTGGGATTGTTGGATATAGTTAGACGCATTTTAGGATTCTTATGTTTAGTATTATTGGATATTTTAATAAAATTTGGGATATTGAAATGCATTTGATATTAATTTGATTACATTAGTAATTGTTATGATGTGTTTAGTTTAGTTTTTACTCAATGTTATGTAAAGGTTTTTTTTGTATGTTTTACAAAGAAATACAGGTTACTTAGAAATACACGTTCAGGAAGTGGATCAATTAGGGTTTAGGTGTAGTATGAATTGCTAAGTAATAATAGGTCATGGGAAGCTAAGATTGAATTTGTTTTAGATGGTTAGGCTGACAATATTTTAATCATCAAGAAAAAAGTATAGGGTGTCAATGTGTCTTATTTTATCTTGCATTTTTTATATTCATTTGCAGTAACTTGTTTTCAAATTCTTTTTTTGTTCCCAAAAGAAAGAAAAAATGGCTTCATCTTTAATTCTGTTGGTTGCTGCTGCTACTGCTGCCGTGGTGGCTGATGCTTGCTGCGGCTGCTGCTGCTGCAATGTTGCTGTGAGGCGTGCATACTGCCAATCCATCTAATGAAGAACTAGCTGAGTCAGCAGTTGTGATATGTGAAACTTCTGCAACATGTGGTGTGGTGTGCTGTGTATACAACTAAGGAAGTGAATGGTTTTCGGAATGTGGGTGAAGTTGCACCTGTCGGACATGCATATTGAAGGGAAGGTAACAACTAGTATATTCTTATTTTTAGACTAGACTGTAGAAGAGTCCATGTAACACTGCAAAAAATACATTCTCAGAAGCTCCGGACACCTATCAATGTCTATTTTTTTGTATTAAGCTTCCCTTATGAAAAAAAGTATATGTTGGGACATTATTTAAGTCAAATAGAGAGGGTGGGAAAAATTTAAGTGACTGATGCTTTGGTTGATGTCTGCTGACAGGTGCCTATTCACTTCCATAATGGTGGTTGAATTTGATTTTTTGTTTTTGATTTTATTTTTTTTCCTTTCTCAGGTTGTTGAGCGGTTCCAAGAATTGTTTGCTCAGACAAAGTATAAGGAGGCTGCAGAACTTGCTGCAGAGTCACCGCAGGGAATTCTCCGCACTTCTGACACTGTTGCTAAATTTCAGGTTTTATTAACATGATATCAGCCCTAACCATTTGTCTTCAGAATGTGTAAATGTCAAGGCCCTCATTTACTCTTTATGCTTTGCAGAGTGTTCCAGTGCAAGCTGGGCAAACACCTCCTTTGCTGCAGTACTTTGGAACTCTTTTAACTAGGGGAAAGCTCAATGCTTTTGAGTCATTGGAACTATCTCGTCTTTTTGTAAATCAGAACAAAAAGAATCTTTTGGAGAATTGGTTGGCAGAGGACAAACTTGAATGTAGCGAGGAGCTTGGAGATCTTGTGAAGGTTTGATTTGGAAGATTGAACTTTTCATGATGTTTATTGTGCTATAGTTCTTATACAAAACTTTTCTGTAATCCTTTATTTTTAATCTCTCTGTTTCAAATTTACTCATTGTTTAAACTATACTTACAAAAATTTACCTGAAATGAAAATAATTTCCCAAAGTCGCTTGTTCTATATTATTTATCAGATCTGTTCTATTG